TGCTGCAATGACATGCTACATGGCAATGCACACTTGTTTTTACATCATAAAAACCCATGTCTAGTTATTATTATTATTGGCTCTTTTAAATGAAACAGGAGTGCGTTGACAGAGAGGAGAATGGAAATGACTCAGCCTGATGAAAGTGATGGAAAACAGAAATGCTTCATGAAAGGAGAATCTCAGCTTTAAGGGCCCGACACACGGGAGGCGACGTCACTCGCTCTCCTCCAGCCAAGCGACCGGAGAAGACCGTGCATGTGAAATTTCGCGCGAGCTTGCAACGCTACATACTAAAGTTGAAAAATGTTCAACTTTTGTCGCTGTCGCTTAGCGTACAACCAATCAGCGAGGGTTTCATTGCCTGACCAATGAGAGGAGAGTATGCTACACCCTGCAGGTAGCTAACACTTTCACCAAGTGTTTACTAAAAAAGGTAGCTTTATGGGAATTTGTTGGTGCCAGGGTGAAGTTATCCGGTAAGGTTTTCCTCAAAATCATATCTTGGTGTGCATTTGTTTTTCACCACCATAATCATATTGTTTAGTTTAAATGCATCCCTCCCCCACTTTTTGTGACCTTTACAAGAGGCAGTAGAAGAACCAATCAAATTCCGTAAAGACAAGCGACCCGAGAGCGTGATTCGCAACGCTGCCTTCGCTACCGCGTCTCATGTGTCGGGTTTCATCCTGGTTGTGATGACAACTGTTAATCGCTGTCGTTTGTCTCTCTGTGTGTCGAGCTCTTTAGCCTTTTAACTTTCACGTTAGCCCCTGAGCTAATGATATTTAATATTTGTGTCACTTATTAGTATTATTATATATATGGCTTTAGCTCCAGCTAATTTACTAAACATCACGCTGGAACATATTAAGACCAACATTTAAAAGCAGACAGAGATCCCTTTAAAACTTTATTGTTAGACTGAAGCTCAAGCAGTTGTCTCTTTTTTTTTCGTTTAGAAAGCCACTTTTAGTTTTACAGCAGACACAGATACACGCTGCCTTCTCTAACACTTACTTCTCCAAGTCCCACAACGCACTGGGCCATCCTACAGCTCAAAAGACATAATGAAAAACAGACACAC